AACAAAAACTAGAATTTTTGGTTGTCCACTTCAATTCGGCTAGAGTATTTCATGAAAGCTAATCCAACTTATTGGGACATTTCAAGGTTACCAAGATAAGAAGAAAACTAGTTTTTGATTCTCTTGGACAGAATAACTGAAAATAATAAGGTTCAACAACCAAAGCTAGTTGCAAACAAATATATAGTGGAGTGACTTTTGGATTAAAGATGAGTATACGAGCTAAGATATTCCTTGATCGAGCACAATCGAAACTATAAAGAATCATATTGTTTGGATGATTGTTACGTGTCGTTTCATAATGTATCGTGTTGTATTGTATTGTATTGTTTATTTGATGAATATAATATTTGGACAGATTGTATTGTTTGCCGTCATTTCATAATGTCATGCACCAACAATATGAAGAATAAACTTACAACATTACTAAGAAAAAATATGACACGGAGTAGAATTATTATATAAAAAAGTAGGGTAAAGGATAAAATATAATTATTTAATAATAAGGAAGGGCAAGATGGGAGAAAAAAATAAAGTAACGATGCCACAACACCAAATCTGTCGTTACATACAATGGCACTTTTTCTCGTTACATAACGACGGATTTAACGATACGATGCAATAAAATTTAAGTAACAATCAAAACAAACATTGTATTTAAAGTAACAATACGATACAACACAAAAGGTAACAACTTTCCAAACAAGGGTACATGATTGTTCCTCTTGTAATTGAGCTTCAACATTAATAGGGAATTCAAGGAAAATGCCCAAGAGATCTAGGAGACAATAGAATTTTTACACTATTTAAATATGTTATAGTAGCGGATAATCTGTCAATATTTTCAGGTTATTTTTTATGAACGATTACTTGTAATAATCTTTTAAGTAATATGATAGTTCTAAAGTTCTTTTAAAGTTAAATTGGAAAAGTATGATCCTTGTCTTTGTCCTTAAAAATAAGTATATAGCTAACATCAGTTGTTAATCATCTCAATATCCATAACTGACGTTGAAGAGTGAATTCCAAGGTCAGTGGAATCAAATATATTACCTTTGACAATTAATTAGGAATTTACTTTTATTAGAGGGTACAGCCGGCTAAATATGGGGAAAATTAAGTACATAATTGATTTGCAAAAAGCACATAAAGAATGAACCCAAGATTCATCGGCGGGCATATTAGCAGTTTGTGACTTTAAATAAATGGATTTATTATCAATATGACAAGATTCATCGGCGGGCATATTCTTAGTCTGTGCGTAAAGCCAACAAGAAATATATTTTGCACACTTAAATTCCCTTTTTTATACTTTCAAAAATAATATAATAATAGAAGCTTCCACAGTACCTTGTACTCACTAAATTAAGAATTGCACAACATTGGCCAATCTAGACACTCTTGCATTTTTGCTGACAAAGCTCGGATTATTTTACTATTAATTGGCACTTTCCTATTTTTTAGTGGTTCTATTTCTGGGGAATTTTTTGCTAAAGCGGGTCTTGATTTTGACCTAATCATAATTAATCTGAGTTAACGTCAGGTCATGCTTAGAAAGAGGAGAAACTTAACTCGTATCAATTGATGGGAACTAATATATTTTTTAAATTCTTAAGTCAATGTTGCAACAACTTCTTTGTTTTAACTAAGGGTGCACGGCTAGGAATCAGGCTTTGGTAACACTTCTAAAATTGTACGGTTGAATAGAATATTTATGGGGAAATTTCACATAAGAACAATTTGGGATTTCTACTTTTCAATTTTATTACCCATATTTCAATTTACAATCAACTAGCCCAAAAATAATAGGTTAAGACTCAACATCCAACTCCAATAAATTCTCAAAATTACTATTTAATTTAAAAAAAAAAAAAGAATTGTTCAAGCTTTTAAGTTAATTTTTGAATCAGCAGTTGTAACTCAAATATTAGTTTAACAAACCAAATCCATTTGAATGGTGAAAATTAGATTTTTAACAAGCTTAAATATGTGGGTTTAGATTCCACATTTGATTTTGTGAGAAATTTGGAGTGGGTGTTATTTAGAATTGTTAGAAATAGCATAAGGAGGTTGCACATAAAATTTGAAGTCATTTAATGGAGATTTGGACTGGTTTTGAACAAGAATTGCAACTGAAAATCGTGGAAGAAGTCCGTCTACAAACGCTTGTATAAAGGTGTATAAAAGTGTATAAAATATGGTTATACACTCATATACACTTTTATACAAGATTATACATAATTATACAAAAAAACTGACTTCGTCTTCTTCATAGCGTCTTTTCTGAAATTTAACTCAAATCTACTCAAAATCACTTCAAAATTAAATTTTGAACTCCTTTTGATATTTTCAATCAATTAGAACAACACCCAATCCAAACAACTAATAAACTCAGAAAATCTTATTTTCGAAAGCAAAGCTTTGAATAGCCTTCAATGGTGGACGTCTACTCTTCAATTTTCTTATATTGCAACTAGGTGACACAAGCGGAAAAGCAGTAATGGCGGACGGCCCCTTGAAGCATATGTAGAAGACGTGATAAGAAAATAGAGTGAAAGCAATGGTTGTGAGAATACAAAATTTAACTCCATAGCTTTTAGAAGCTATGGTTGTAAGAACACAAATTTTGAATTTGCTAGTGCTTTCAAAATATGTACAATATGGACTAGGTTGGATAAAACTTAAAAACATGGGCCATTTTTTATTATGGTATGATGTCAAGTGTATTTTCTTCTAATTCTTTCAATATTTATTTCATAAGATATTTGCAATCGGTCACCCTTTATTCTAATTGAATAGGACTAGTGGCGGCAAATGGATAAAAAAATAGTTATTCTTCCATATTATCCACTAAAAATAAATTGGATAATGTATTTTTTTAAAACGCGTCAAATATGGTAAGAACTATATTATCCACTTAAAAAATGGATAACTAACGGGTTTAACTTTTATATTTGTAAAGAGAGACTAGGAATTCTCCCAAAAGTAATCATACTCAAGAAGTTATAGATAATATGAAGGGAAATTTTCATAAAGCACTATCTTTTAGTAGTAATTAGCCATCTATAGATACCATTTGCTATATTACGGATTATTGATACCTTTTATGTGGTTATAAGATGTATTTGATGTATTTAAGTTATTGTATTCATGAATACAGTAGCAAAAATAGGCGTGAATCACGGAAGTCCAGCTAATCAGTTGTTGTATTCGAGTGTATTCGACTGTATTCATGGAGTGAAACATGGGATTACAGCTGGACAGATCATTGTATTCGACTGTATTCACAGCGTGAAATAGGGGATGACACTGTTTTTAAAAGGGAAAGTGAATCAATTAACATAATAGACTCCTAATATAATTCAACAAACTCAATTATAACACACAAATTTTGTATTTTCAGTTATAAAAAAGATTCTCAACCGAAAAATACCCCCAAAAACATAGCAACCTTCAGAGAAAATATATAATACATCTGAATACATAAATTATATTAATTAAAAAAAACTTATGAATACATTCATGGCATATAGCGAGACAGTGAATACAATGAAATACATAGAATACAACGGGATACATTGAAATACAATGAGAAAAAAAAAGACAATAAATACATGGAATACAACGAGATACATTGAATTACAATGAAAAAAAAGACAATGAATACAATGAAATACATGAAAATACATTGACATATATTAACAGAAAATCATCCTACAACATCCATATCTCAATTTTTTCAATTGGCAAGGACGGTATTCACGAGGCTAGTGGAGCCAGCTTATACAGCAGTGAGGAACGAGTTTAGGAGGAGAATGGGAAGGAAAACGACAGTGACAAGCCTTGGCGGATTCGACACTTGCTACACAGTCTCCATTAGAATTCCAACAATAACGCTGATGTTTGCGGGCATGGAAATACGTTGCCGCAAGACAACTTCTTGATCCGTAGCAGAGAAGGAGTCAATTAATGGAGGATCCGACACTTGCTACTCAATCCTAATAGAATGGATCCAAAGAAAATGGGGGTAGTTAGAAATCTACAAAGCTAAACAGTAAAAACATACTGTCAGTAATTGCCTAATCCTATCATCTAGTCTTCTACTCATATATATAGTGATCCGCTCTTCAGGTGTCTTCCTCTGTTGCTTTCTTGCCTCTTAACGGAATTGGCTGGTATGGGGACCAATCCAGGTATATTGGTTACCTCCGTAGCAGAGAAGGAATCAATTAATGGAGGATATCGACTTCTTGCTAACAATTCTCCTACTACAATGGAGGATATCGACGGAGGAGAAATCGTAAGGGAACTAGACAGAGAAGAGGAAGAGTATCGAAAATTTTAATGGGATGGGGGAAGAGAATGGGATGTCTCAAAGTAGAGAGAGAAAGAAAATATTGTAACTGATTAGCGTATTTAGTGGCTTAGGAATAGGAGGTAACCAAAATTAAATATTTTGCTATAAACATTAAAAGGTATCTATAGAATATAATTTTTTTAAATAGTATTTATTTAAAATAAATAAGGTGTTAACCTTTGCTATAGGAGGTAAAAATTCCTAATATGAATATTCATATTCTATTCATAATAAATATGGGTTGAGTGGATTACTCATTTTCGACCAGCCCGACCCAGCCTTCCCGTTTGCCTCCCCTAAATAGGACTGGTACAACTAATTCTCCTAATCTTCCACCTATTAACGGAATAGTCCATATCACCCTTTCTTTTTAGTTGAAACAACTTAAAGATGACCAAAAAAAGGAACAAATATACATATTGTGTAGATGGATTAACATCTAGATATAGATGTAGATCAATGTTTAACCATATCAGAGGGGGTTTCTTTAACTTCATAAGGCTTGGCTGCTAACTTTTATACTTAAGACCAGAAAGATTACAGGATATTCAAAATAAGAAGTGTTAATACTACAATGTACAAGGAACAAGGCACCGGATATAAGTATCTGTCAAGGAAAAGAAAGCACTAAAAGGGACAAAGGTAAATGCAGAAGTCAAAATCACAAGAACATCTGCAAACATTTGAACTTCACCTTAACTTCCAATTCCAGTCAAGTACAAGCAACACCACTTTTCAAGGCCTAAACCTAAAAAGCTAAGTTGATACCACTTCAAGACTTGAACACCAGCATCTAAAGATGCAACGAAGAAATACCGAGTACATTCCTATTACATACTCAAAGCTGCACGAGCAAGAAATGCTAACAGTTTTTTGTCCACAGTAGTAGAAAATATGGAGAAACACAAAACTCTCCTATTGCTCACCTGCTGGCCAAGTTTTTCCCCTTCAAGCACAGAGTCACATTTGCCATCCGACTTTGAGGAACCAAAACAAAATCAAGACAGAAACTAACAAATTTTCCTGAACGACTACTGTTAGTAGTCAATGTTATTGACAATACTTCTAATCCATTACAAGTAAAAATGAAAATTCTTTAATTGAATTTTCCATGACAAGGATGCAGCTAACAGCATCAACTTGACAAGGTAAAAAACAATAAATACCATATTCCAGGTAGGCTCATACTTATCATTTCCATACATTAAATACTTATCTCCAAAATCTTCTTCTAGAAGCTCCACGTCTATGCACTTGCTTCAGATCTTTAGCTGAAAGTAAATGAGCAATATCAGAGAAGTACTCGCAAACCAAATAAGAAAATTGGTAGTTTGTGCTATAGGAACTAATTATCAACAGAACATTATCCTATCAGATTGTAGAAAAATCGCCTATTTGGAGAAGGAAAAAACTGCAGACATAAAATTGATGTATGCAACAGAGCATCTCGACCAGGGAACAAAGATATTTAAAAATAAATAGAAACGAATCATTTTCCTAGATCACAAATTAGCAGCAGACTGAAGTGGAGCTTCGGAGCATTGGTAAAGTTGTCTCCGTGTGAACCATAGGTCACGGGTTCGAGCCGCGGAGTCAACCGCTGACGCTTACGTTAAGGTAGGATGCCTACATCATACTCACTAGGGGTACGGCCCTTCCCCATTCCCTGAGTGAACGTGGGATTCTTCGTCCAACGGGCTTTCCTTTTTACTTTACAAATTAGCAGGGGATTAAATAACTTCTTTGGCTCACAAAATCAAATGCCCAAAACTGGGAAATGCCCTTTAGCCCATTGAACAGTTGTGTTGAAAGAGGTATTGCTATGACTGAAGATACCTGTAAGTCTTCCAGCAACATACAGAACTTCTTCAGCAATGGGTCTCCACTGCTCGGCACATGAAAAATTAATTCCCAGACCAACACTAAGTCCTCTCAGGAGATGCACTGTACGGAGCACAGAAAACAGTTCCTCTGGAAAAGCCTGTCATCAGAACAAACAATTTTCAAAATTGTTATAAAGTATTCATATTTGATTTGCCAATTAGTTCAACTGAAAAATTCTTCAGGATGCTGGCCAATGCAACTGTTATCACCACACGAATGAAGGGAAACCAATGTTGTTAGCTGCAAACATGCTACGTTTCCAAAGGTGGGGTTTATGGTAAACAATAGGAAATCTAATAAAGTGTAACTTGGTGAAAGACATCATGTGTGATTTTGGGATATCTTACAAGTAAAACTATAAACTGGGAATTTGAAAAACAAACTTGGTATAACATTTATCAAGCAAAGACTAACGTTCTTGAAAGGTTGAAGGATCAAAAACTCAGCACAGATCAGGGCGGCATCACTATTTTATCAAATATTGAGTAAAAATTTATTAACAGAGTGAAATCCAGAAAACCAAGTGAAATCAAAGTATTCTTTTCAGACCGTCGTATTCGTAGTACAAGGCTGGTCAATGAATCTCCGGTAACATGGGGAACATCTCATTGGTGCTATTCTTTTTTTTGAGTATTTATAATGACCACATTGGTGCTATTCTCCAAGAAACCAACTCCCTTTATCTCAAATAAATGATGCACTGCTTTAACCTAAATTAGATGTCAAATACACCACCTCGTATTTTCTCCTTTCACATGTCTATACATAAGAAGAAAGGAAACTATAAGGGGAAGATAATTGCAGTTATAATCCAATTATAAACCACCAAGACATTTATGCTTAAGGCATATCCAGACAAGATAATATCATTTAAAGCAATCTAAGAAGTAATACGGGAGAATGAGCTTTAGGATTCATTCTTCATGCAAGTTTCTCATGGTTTGATTGGTAAATGGGAAAAATCAACATGATTGAAGCCCTATGAAATTTGGCAGAAATATGTATCAGAAAAGGGATTACCATTCTATCACTCTCATATGTTTCGCGAAATATTAAGGATGAATTGGCCACATGATGAATACATGGGTGATGCACTTACCATCTTTGATGCTACATGCAAATATCAACCTTCATCTCTAAATTATTTACTTCCAAAGTTCTATTTCCAGCATTCAGTGCTCAAGCAGGCCAAGGATCCATCATTCCATCGGTTTAAAGATTTTGGATTGTGTAGATATCAAGTTCAATCCTTTGATTTGGAGAAGTTCGTATAATTTTTTCCAATGAATGATTAAGCAAGTCTAGTAAAGGTTTATACTGTAAAATGCCTTGAATAACAACTTCGGGGTTATTCTAAAATCCATTTTCAATTCCAAAACAACTTGTTGCAATTTGAACTTTCGAATCATAAAATCCTTTTTGCTGCACAGACAACCTATAAACATGTATATTCTAGATCCTTGCATTGGAAATCTCGTATCAAACTTATCCTCCAGATACAACTCCAAATTTCTAAATGTCAACAAAAATGTAATCCCCACCACCTCCTCCCACCCAAAAGAAACAGAGGAGCAACACAAAAAGAAAGGACAGAAACATTATGTACGATTAGAGAAGGTAAAAGTAAATTGCGCCATAAGAAGGCATCCATTAAATTTGCTCGACTAGTAAACCCAAGTCTCAGCTAATAGTAGCAATATATTCTTTACCTAAGGAACTTAAAGACATACCTTAACAGCAATCTTTTTTATTGAAGATTCTTCTGCAAAAGGTTGCAGCATAGTAACTCCAGGGGGTAATTTTGTGTCAAACATAGTCTCCGCCAGCCTAAGCATTTCCTTCTGTTCATTCTCGCATTTGCTCAAGGTCTCGATACCAAGCTCCCTGAGATTTAAAGATAGCATATTACCAAGGAAAAGAGAAAAATTGTTAGACTGCTGCAAGCCTGCAGTTCTATTGTTTCCTCACTAGAGCAGATTAAGCCAAGCCACAGGAGTGCAGTTACAAAAAAAAAATCAACCACTAGTTCTGGCTGAATGGTTATGAGCCTATGAAGAAGCATATGCTATTTTCACCTGGTATATCAAGGCATATATTATTTTCAAGATGGTCTCCACTGTGATAGGTTTCTAAATTCTAATGACAGATTATTCGCAACCATACTTGCATGAACGCATTTTCTCTTAACAAAAACACGACCAGGTCTGCCAATCTTACGGTCAATAATAACATATGCTGTCAACGATGCATCT